TGTTAGCAGTGAAATGCCTTAGGCACTATGCACCACACCTCCTTCCTAGGAAGGAAGAGGGGCAAATCTACTTCCACAAAGATTTACTGCCTTGAAAACCCAATGGTGATTGCTATGGATTGGAACTGATTCAACGGCAGTGGTGTGTGTGTGTGTGTGTGTATAGGTAGGTAGATATATAGATAAGTAAGCAGGTAGATAGATGGATAGATGGATTGGGTGGGGAGACAGATAGAAATAAGATTTGCATTTAAGCTGAGACTTAAAATTATATACCGTAAAACAAGTCCAGGAATTGGCTATGCAAAAGAGATTACTTTAGAAATTGAGGGAAAAGGAGTGGAGAGCAAAGTAAATGCTGATTTGAAGGCAAGACAGACTGTAGGGTACTGAAAGAAGACTGTCAAGGCTAAAGTACAGAGATGACAAGTGATGAGGTTTGTTAACAAAGGCAGATTCTAAATATGGCAAGACTAAGTTAAGGATTTGGAACCTTGCTTTATGTATGTCATTAAAATGATTATTTGTTTATCCTAAGCAAGTCATTAAAAACATTTTTTTTTCTTTTTCATAGTGACTTAATTAGATTTACATTTTGAAAAGAAAACTCTGGCTGAATTGCAAAGATTATATTAGAAGTAGGTACACAGGGGCCAACCCAGTTTGGCCAACCTTTGGTATTATTAGATTTTACAGAACTTTAATATTATTAGATTTTAAAGAATAGAGATTCTTAGGCCTAGATATTGTTGATAATTTGCATTAGGCTATAACATCAAGAAGTTGCAGAGTTTACAATATCACACTTACCAAAACTCATATGCTTCACTACTAGGTTAGGGAATATTCATTCGTTCAACATCTATTTCTTGTTCAGAGTATATATGTAGAAGATGGAGGAATAGGCAGACAAGCTACACAGACCCTCTTCAACAAAGAAAAGAGAAACCAATTCACAGAGATACAGAAGATAATCCTAGAGCCCTGAGTTTTGAAAGGAAGTATACGAAGCAGATTAGGCACCAACTCATGGGAGCTCTGGTAGCATGGTGCCTAAGGCACTTGACTCCTAACCAGAAGGCTGGTG